CGACTAACGGGATCGGGTGATCAGGCTCGCTGACTTGGTTGATGCATGTCATCGTATCCCAATTGCGTGGATCGATGCTCATGATGTCAATCACTGGATTGTCTGGTCCAGATTCGATTATTTACAGACCGCTGTCATATATCTGTAATATTGCTGAGTGCGGCGTTAAACTGTTTCCCAAATGCGTACATCAATGATCATGATTGTACGGTCCCCACTCGATAATTTTCAAACTGCCGTCATATAGAGGGAAGATAAATATCAAATGTCCCTTTGCATGTAGCTGTGATACATCAAGTCTTATCACAGATGACAATGCGGCGTTAAACAAAATAATTTCTTTATTGTTATTGTTTCTTTTCTTGTGACATTGAACCTTATTAATGTTTTATTTTATTTCCAGCTTTGTAATCTCTACAAGAGCGCACTCACTATTGTGGGTAAACGTTCCATCGAGGATGACAGTCAAGACAACTGCTTCGACTGTTGTGACGCTGACAGTTGTAACGTCAACATGTGTGGTGGTAACGCAACACAACAGCAGACAACTCCCCCGAATATAACTGTGACTTTGACCGAGACAACTCCAGCATCCACGACTGCTGAAACGACCACACCACCACCACCCAGTACGTCTTTGTTTCTGGTCAAGACTCGAGTGTCAAAATGTCGGGTTTATTATTTGGCGAGGTGTCAGGCTTAATTGTTTTTTTATAAAAACTGTTTGATTGGCTGGTGGTACTGATTGAATAGGACTTGTTTACCCTTTTCGCGAATACCCGGTGTCATCATTGATTTGTGACCCGTGAAGATCCGGGGTAGAATAGAGTCTTCAGCAACCCATCATTGCCGCAAAAGGCGACTACGCTTGTCGTAAGAGGTGACTAACGGGTTGGGTGGTCAGGCTCGCTGACTTAGTTGATGCATGTCGTCGTATCCCAATTGCGTAGATCGATGCTCATGATGTCAATCACTGGATTGTCTGGTCCAGACTCGATTGTATACAGACCACCATCATATAGCTGGAATATTGCTGAGTGCGGCGCTAAACAACAAACAAACATCACAGATTTGTATACTTTGTATACACTTCAACATATATTTCAGAGTGTCCCAACACCTATCTGACCGGCCCCGGATCCTGCTACCTGCTCGTGAACTCCTCGCATACGTGGCATGAGGGGGATGTGCTGTGTAAACAGATGGGGGACCAACTCATGTCCATCAACGACAAAACAGAGGACGACTTCATCTCCAACTACCTCAGCAATCTCGCAGGTCATCACCATCAAATTGTTAAAAATTAGGCACCCCAGTAGCATGTCGTAAGAGAAAAACCACATCAGGATCCGGTTGTCACAATGCTATGATCGTTGCTCACACTATCAACCACGGGATTGACGTTTTACTTATTGGTTGTGTTGACAAAGTTCCTGTTTTCTTACTGGGCGTGGCGCAATTTTCATCTCACCCAGATGATCCGGGGTAGAATAGGTCTTCAGCAACCCATGCATGCCGTAAAAGGCGACGACGCTTGTCGTAAAAGGCGACCAACGGGATCGGGTGGTCAGGCTCGCTGACTTGGTTGATGCATGTCATCAATCCCAATTGCGTAGATCGATGCTCATGATGTCAATCACTGGATTGTCTGGTCAAGACTCGATTATATACAGACCACCGTAGCACAGAGTGCGGCGTAAAACAACCAACCAACAACCAACAACTATATGAATTTCACACCAGTCCAACCCCGAATACTGAATGGTTCGTCCGTTATGCAAATTCGCAATAAACCTCTGATACATTTGCCACTGAATACACATGTGATGTCAACAGGTTCTTCACAGCCAGATGGGTACTGGGTGGGCGGTTTCTTCGACAAGAGCACGTCACAGTGGGAGTGGCAGGATGGTACACATATGACGTACGTCAGATGGGGTCCTTACCAACCAGTGTCCTTCGTCAACTACCACGTGAACCTCATCAACCAACGTGTCTCTCTGCTGTATAACAACTGGCAGTGGTCTACTAACGTCGAGTATGCTAGCAACAGATGGCTCATTTGTGAACGTTCGTTCAATTAAAGTGGACGTCAAGCGTTGCTCCCTAAGTTGGATCCGTTTGAATAAATTAATATGAGAAACAACTACGTGTCTGTACATTTGTGAAAGTTTGTTTGTTTGTTTGTTGTTTAACGCCGCACTCAGCAATATTCCAGCTATATGACGGCGGTCTGTAAATAATCGAGTCTCGACCAGACAATCCAGTGATTGACATCATGAGCATTCATCCTCGCAATTGGGATCGATGACATGCATCAACCAAGTCAGCGAGCCTGACCACCCGATCCCGTTAGTCGCGTTTTACGACAAGCATAGTTGCCTTTTACTACAAGCATGGGTTGCCGAAGACTTATTGTACCCCGGATCTTCACGGGTCCAGAATTTTCAAAAAGCGGCGTTTAACCGTATTCAGCATCATTCATTAGATACAAAGTGGCTGAAGATGCAAAAATGTTTATAAAAAGAGGCGATGACGTGGGTGACACAACTGTGCGGACGACGGCTCATACTAGGCAAAGACGTTGACGTGGATGACACGAACGTAAACGGGCGACGCCTCATACATTTAAGCTCAAGTTTACTTATTGATTGTACAACCGCACCTTCTTTCAAATATCTGTTCATTTAAATATGTATGACTGCGCACTGTCTGACACTTCTACCAATCAATGAATGTAATCACTGTGACAATTTAATCATGTCTTCACTTCTCCAATATCAATATAAGTCTGCTGAAGCTTACCGTTTGAGTCATCGTCTATTACAAACTCAACTGGATATATCGTGTGCCCGTAACTCGGTATCGTGGCATCACATGTTATCTTGATGCATGTAACCTTGGGTGTGGTTACAAACATACCACGGTTGTTTAACGCCGCACCCAGCAAAATTCCAGCTCTATGATGGCGGTCTGTAAATAATCGAGTCTGGGCCAGACAATCCAGTGATTGATATCACCAGCATCGATCTTCGCAATATGGGATCGATGACATGCATCAACCAAGTCAGCGAGTTTGAACACCCGATCCCGTGAGTCGCCTTTTACGACAAGCATAGTCGCCTTTTACGACAAGCATAGTCGCCTTTTAAGGCAAGCATGGGCGTCCCAGTTATTTTGCGCTAAATCACGGATGTAATATCTAACCAAGGATTTAGTGCATGGGATTAGAAGTGGTGTCACAGATTTGTTGAGTGCTTCTTTTGCAGCAGCAACAGCCACTGAGTTGCCAACGATTCCAGCAAGGGTGGACAACCAACAGAAGACGATGTCGTATTGACCAGTAGCAAGATCATTATGTAGTTCAATTATGTCAAGTAAAGTGAGTGAGTGAGTTGGGGTTAACGCCGCTTTTAACAGTATTCCAGTTATATCACGGCGTGTCAGCTTAATGTGGGAGGAAAGCCCCAAGTGATGCAGGTCTCAGACGTTTACCACTTCGGTGAAACCCATGAGCACGGGTATGGTGATGACAAACCTAGAAACATAATTGGGGCGAACCGGGATTCGAACCCACAATCATAGGTTTCTGGCTTGCCCAAGGGACGCAACTCTGCACAGCGAATCGCGGCGCCTTAGACGACTGGGCCCCCCGTGTCCCCCGCAGCATGTATTGTATATCCAAATTTATAAGTGCCTTCCATTGACGACACTTCGTATTCGTCACTCCCCTCCATGTCGGAGATCTTGCAGACATTCCCGAGTCCAAGGAGAACGTTCCTGGTCTCTGTGTACCCCCCCCCCCCCCCCCCCGCGCCCTGTCAAACAGTAAAACTGCATCCTGACCCGAACGAATTGTTTAACAGCTTGGAGACAGGGAAGAGAGTTTGAAAATATAGTGGATTGTTGATGTTTAGACTGTTTGCTAAATTTAAGAGCTGTTAAAATGGCCTTTGATTCGGCTGTAAGTATTGAAGAGTTTCGTGGTCATCCAGTATGCACAGTTCTGGATCCAACGATGGTGGCGCTGGCAACAGCCTCAGCATCCTTAACTCCTTCTGCAAATATTGATTTGTAAGTATTGTATGTACTTCATAATTGATTATATTCTTGTTAGTACTGTAATTAACTTTTTCTGCTTTCTTTAGTTTGAACAGTGACAGGTCTACTTGTGGCTTTACAAATTGCCAAGGAGGAGAAGACATCAGACGGAAAGGAGATGTAAGTTCAATATCAGCACCATTAAGGAAGGACTTGATTCTTACAGGGTGAATAAGAGATGAGTTCTTATCGTTCAGATCCTCATAAAGGGGATAAAACACGCAGTTGTATGCAGGGTTGGACTCATTAGCATATAACTTTGTGATATACTGTAAAGATAGTTTAATGCGGCGATGTTTAAGAGAAGGCTAGTTGGCCTCAATATACAGGTTGACAGTCTGAAGTAGATCAAAGCATTATCTCTGCCCTAGTTATAATTAGGGTTGCTCTAACGCCATGTTTAAACAGACCGCCTCCGTGGTCTAGTGGTAAATCGTCCGCCCGAAATGTCCGGGGTTCGAAACCCGGCCGCATCATACCAAAAGACGTTAAAAGGTCGTACTTGTTGTTACCCTGTCTGGCGCTCGGCATTAAGGGGCTAAAACAAGGACTGGTCTGCTCGGAGTCAGTATACTGTGTCTGGGTGGGATATTCATGTTAAACTGCGGCATGATATCTCGGTGAGCTAGCACTTTAAATCGGCATCAGTCCGGACTAGTACAAGCAGCCACACAAACAAACACACGCACATGCACATCGCTATATAAGTGCAATAATCTTGGACGCGACGTTAAACCCCATTTCACCTCACCACAAACCATATCTAAAATTTATCACTTTATTTGGAGCTACTGTAATTGGATGTTGCAAGATCGATCTAATCGACTTCTAAATCAATGTTCTGCGGTTCTAAAGCTATTGGTTTGTTCCAAGCATTTCACATGCGCTGAGACGACAGACTGATCAAGTACTACTGTCACCGACAGTTCCCAGCATGGCCATATGCACTTTTATTGTCTTTGACAAAATCATGATGCAAATGTGGATTATTTTAGTTTTGAGCTCCACAACACTGTGTTTGAGAGAACATACTTTCAAGAAGACAGCAGGTGATGTTCGATCCCGTTTGGAAAACCCACAACGTCTTCAACTGCATACGGTTTCGGCGTTAACAGAATGTGGTCGACTGTGCTCACGAAGTTCATCGTGCATTGACTTGCAGTACTCCAGCACAAGACGAGCTTGCATTACTGGACACACAGAAGACGTATCTGATGGCGTAATGTCCCAGAGTGGACTGTTTGACTTGTACAATTGGTATTTTAAAGGTAGAGGTTTATATGAATACATGTACCCATGCTTGCCGTAAAAGGCCACTATGCTTGTCGTGAGAGGCGACTAACGGGATCGGGTGGTAAGGCTCGGGAGTCATCGTATCCCAATTGCGTGAACTAAGTGTTCACCTGTCCTGGAGTTATGTTGTACTAATATTCACATTTAATATGTGAGTAATGAGTGAAAAAAAATAAAAATACAATCTTTAAATTCTCAATAATTTCTGCTCATACTGTATATCCCAATTGCGTGGATCGATGCTCATGATGTCAATCACTGGATTGTCCGGTCCAGACTCGCTAAGTTTGTTAGTAGGCCGATATTCTCACAATTTTCACGTCGCGTGTCCTTATAGACCTTATAGACCTATTCTCCCAATACCAATTGTCACATTGTAGTTAACTTTTTTGGACAGAAGGGGGTGGGGTGGGGGGGTGGCAGATATTTGTACATTTGTATCATTTGTCCCCAACTTGATTCAAATAAAACTGTTTTCTATAAAAAATCGAATCATTTGCAAAAAAGGAAAGTAGTAGCTTCACTTGATGATGATGTTACACGTGTCGCATCTTGGTGTGTTACGTCTACTTACACACGATACACTCTCTGTACAAGAATATTTGGATGGACAAATATTTTGCTTGAGATTTTTTGGCTATCTGGTACTTTTTACAATTTTAAATTTATTCAGTCCTTGTTTCACTTTCTCACTTTGCTGTAGAATTGGGAGGTTGTCCCTTATGACTGGCATGATAATACAGTTATCAGGATTGAAGGTGGATACAAATGGAATAATTTGATCGCCCACAGATTTTTCATTAGGTTTCAAGAGAGTATGTCTTAGAAGTTTTATCGACTTTTCTATAGCGTCATTTATTATATAATGATATAAGCGGATATCCTAGTTTCTTTAGATACCTTATCAATTATTTCAATCTTAAGTCTCTTTTATCCGTTTCCGACACGATGGTGCATACTCTCCGCGCAAGTGAATAAGGAATGTTAGTTCTTGTATGCCTGGGGTGACGTGAACCGAATTGTAAGTATAGATGGGTGTATGTTGGTTTGTAGCTGATATAGGTTTTCAGTTTAGTATCTCCCTTAACTAAGAGGACGTCCAGACCCTCGCTCTCGCTAAACTCCATAGTAAAACTGATGGAAGGATGGAGCGTATTAATAATATCCAGAAAGGTGTCTAAATCTTCACGAGTTGAGAGCCAAACTAAAAAACAATCGTCTTAGACTCGCTTCCAAGTTTCGCGCACATGCTTGGCGATGGATTCTCACATGGAATCTTGTACCTTCCTGTAATTAATATCCCCTAAATAAACCATCACAAGTGTAGCGTATGTTGGAGCGACTTTCGTTCCCATGGCCGTTTCCTTTCTTTGATGATAGAATTTTCCGTTAAATTCAGTGTTAATAGCCTCAGGACGTTTTCTCAGCCCAAATTGAACTGCTTCCAATCCCAAGTCATGGAATATGTTGGTATATAAACTCTTCAATGTGACTAGAGTCGCATCTTTAGGTACGGCATCGGGAAGGTCGTTAAGAAAGTCCATCTCTTAGTAAACTCGGTACATGCTTTGTTAGTGGTTTTAAGATCATATCGACGAGATTACAAAGGCGCTGCGTCGGGCTGTTCGGTCCTCCGATAATCGGCCTGAATGTCAAGTCAGGAGAGCACTCCGAATTCTGTTCTGCCATGGCACTATTTATTTACCTTTATGGATCTTGGCTAGTCCGTAGTTAAACTGACCTGTTCAGTGATTTCTTGAAATGGACTCTGAACCATCTTTAATTTAAATATGAATTACTTTTCAAAATTTTCAAAGTGAATGATTACGGTTTTATGCTTTCTTCAGCAATATTCGACCCTTGAAGATCCGGGTTAGAATAGGTCTTCAGCAACCCATGCTTGCCGTAAAAGGCGACTACGCTTGTCGTAAGAGGCGACTAACGGGATCGAGTGGTCAGGCTTGCTGACTTGGTTGGTGCATGTCATCGTATCCCAAATTGCGTGCATCGATGCTGGTGATGTCAATCTCTGGATTGTCTGGTCCAGACTCGATTATTTACAGACCGCCATCTTATAGCTGGAATATTGTGAGTGTGGCGTAAAACAACAAACATCCATCCAGCATCGTAGTTGAACTGTCACCCGCAGACGGCTAATTTCGACGGACAACCTGTTTCCAATTCTGGTGGATAAATTCATACTTATGAAAACATTAGATGAACACATTCAATAATTGCAGAAGGTATTGAGAACTAGATATGGATGGATGGATAGCTAGATGTGGGATGGATGGTTGGATAGCTAGATGATGGATGGATGCATAGCTAGATGATCGATGGATGGATAGCTAGATGATGATGGATGCATAGATAGATCATGGATGGATTATAGATAGATGATGGATGGATGGATAGATAGCTTATGCATTGATAGATACCTAGATGATGGATGGATGGATGATAGTTGATGGATGGGTGGATAGTTAGATGATGGATGGATGGATAGATACCTAGATGATGGATGGATGAATAGATAGATGATGGATGGATAGCTTGATGATGGATGGATAGATGATGGATGGATAGCTAGATGATGGATAGATAGCTAGATGATGGATGATTGATATCTAGATGATGGATGGATAGAGAGATAGCTAGATGATGAATGGATGATAGATAGATGATGGGTGGATAGGTAGATGATGGATGGATGGATGGATAGATGCTGGATGGATAAATAGCTAGATGATGGATGGGTGCATAGATAGCTAGATGATGTATGGATGGATAGATAGCTTATGGACGGATAGATAGCTAGATGATAGATGGATGGGTGGATAGATGATGGATGGATGACAGCTAGATGTTGGATGGATAGATAGATGATGGAGGGATGGATAGCTAGATGATGTAGGGATGGATAGCTAGATGATGGATGGATGGATGGATGGCTACATGATGGATGGATGGATGGATAGATGATGGATGGATTGAGAAAGATGATGGATTGATGGATAGCTAGATGATGGATGGATGGATGGATAGTTGATGGATGGATTGAGATAGATGATGGATGGATGGATAGCTAGATGATGAATGGATGGCTAGATGGATGGATGGATAGATAGCTAGATGATGGATGGATAGATGGATGATATCTAGATGATGGATGGATGGCTAGATGATGGATAGCTAAATGATTGATGGATAGCTAGGTTATGGAGGGATGGTTGGATAGCTAGATGATGGATCGATGGATAGCTAGATGATGAATGATGGATAGATGGATGATAGCTAGATGATGGACGGATGGTTAGATGATGGATAGCTAGATGATGGATGGATGGATGGATGGCTAGCTAGATGATGCATGATGGATGGAAAGCTAGATGATGGAAAGATGGCTAGCTAGATGATGGATTGATGGCTAGCTAGATGATGGATGATGGATAGCTAGATGATGGATGGGTGGATGATGGAAAGCTAGATGATGGATGGATGGATAGATGATGGATGGATTGAGATAGATGATGGATGGATGGATAGCTAGATGATGGATGGATGGCTAGATGGATGGATAGCTAGATGATGGATGCATGGGTATCTAGATGATGGATGGATGGCTAGATGATTGATAGGTAGATGATTGATGGATAGCTAGATTATGGAGGGATGGATGGATAGCTAGATGATGGATGGGTGGCTAGCTAGATGATGGATGGATGATGGATAGATGATGAATGGATGGATAGCTAGATGATGGATGGATGGATGGATAGATGATGGATGGATAGCTCGATAATGGATGGATGGATAGCTAGATGATGGATGGATGGATAGATAAATGATGGAGGGATGGATAGATAGCTAGATGATGAATGGATGGATAGCTAGATGATGAATGGATGGAAAGATAGATCATGGATGGATGGATAGCTAGATGATAGATGGATGGATAGCTACATGAGTGATGGATAGCTAGATGATGGATGGATGGCTAGATGATAGATGGATGGATGGATAGATGATGGATGGATGATAGCTAGATCATGGATGGATGGCTAGATCATGGATGGATGGGTGGCTAAATGATGGATGGATGGATAGCTAGATGATGGATGGATGATATATGATGGATGGATAGCTAGATGATGGATGGACGGATGATGGATGGATAGATTGCTAGCTGATGGATGGATAGATAGATGATGGATGGATGGCTAGATGATGGATGGATGGATGGCTAGATGATGGATGGATAGCTAGATGATGGATGGATGGCTAGATGCATGGATGGATGGCTAGATTATGCATGGATGGATGGCTAGATGATGGATGGATGGATGGATGGATAGCTAGATGATGGATGGATGGCTAGATGATGGATGGATGGATGGATAGCTAGATGATGGATGGATAGCTAGATGATGATGGATAGCTAGATGATGGATGGATGGATGGATAGCTAGATGATGGATGGATAGATGGTTGGATGGATATATGTAGAAATAGGCATTTACTTGATAAATATTTCCAACATTGCAGATCCTGAGACATGCTTTGAGATCAAAAGAAACAACCCCACAGCCAAGAGCGGGGAGTACTCAACCACCCCACAGCTCCACAGTTCAAGGGTGTGTCAGTGAAGGTCTACTGCCTGATGAATGACACACACCAGATGGAGTACGTGACACTGCCCAACAGGAACTTCGGACACTACCCGCAAAGGTCCAACGCTAATTGTGGTGAAGTCGAAGAGTCATATCTATCGGGGGCTGGTGTTGGCATGGGTGGCGTTACAGAGTACCAAAAGATCAGAGTACAGCCATCAGTAAGTTGTTAAATGGCCCAAAGGTTATGTAATTATAATATCATTTTATATTATTGAGGAGTAATGCCATCGAGGGACATGTTTGGTAAAGAGTGTTTCTTTGTTTGTTTGTTTGTTTAACGCCGCACTTAGCAGTATTACAGCTATATGACGGCGGTCTGTAAATAATCGAGTGTGAACCAGACAATCCAGTGATTGACAGCAAAAGCATCGATTAACGCAATTAGGATACGATGACCTGCATCTTGTTTTTTTAACCAAGTCAGAGAGCTTGACCACCCGATCCGGTTAGTCGCCTCTTACGACAAGCATAGTCGCCCAAGAATGGGTTGCTGAAGACCTATTCTACCCCGGATCTTCACGGGTCTGGTAAAGAGTGATTCTGATGAAGTGTTTGTCTGTTCGTTGGTTGGTTGTTTTACTGAACACTCACCAATACCCCAACTATATGACGGTTGCTTACCTATAACCGATCTAGAGCAACGTCCCACACCGTCGGAATGCGATGGCATGCAATCAACAGAAACACCGAGCCTGACCACACATCCATTTAGTCGCCTTTTAGGATAAGCCAGAGATTGCTATGCATCTCTTCGACCCTGGTACACAAGGAGACATTCAAATACAAATTAAATGTTTATTGTATGAAAGGTCACAGGCCGAACACACATAACGTTAGCAGTATCATTCGACAAAGAGATTCAGGTGTACCTTTTAAGTGTATATACATTACCGACGCCGTTACGCTGTAATGAGCTTGATTTGGCATGATCGGCGAAATGGCGTCGAGTTATATTTTCCAGTTGTACACCGTTGTATCATTAACCAGCATAATACCACCATGTTTCGTGTAAGTCTGAGGGATAATACCATATTTCATATTTTTGTTCTTTTAGACCATGGCAGTTGTAAGAAATGACGCCACGTTCGTAAGCGGGAGCAAGACAACCCCCCTAGACTATGGTCAGGCAGAAGATTGCTACTCGCATGTAGTTTTCTGTAAGAAAATAGGAACATTTCACATCAACACACTGGGAACAAAGATGAAAGTCAATACCGATGTAAGTGTTTGTTTTGTATCAGAACAGGCGTTGGGGATACACCCATTTGCAAAGCCACATTGACGTTTTTAGTATTTTTTAAACGCCGTGTTCAGCAATATTCCAACTATATAGCGACGGCCTGTAAATATCGAAACTGGAGCAGAAGACGAGTGATCACCCAATCAAGTTGGTCGTCTCATTCTAACGGAGAATCACCACTAGGGAGTAGGAGTCTAGGGCTGGGACGAGTCCAAATTTACAACCCGGGTACCCACCACCCTATTACCCGACCCCACCCGGGTACCCGTTGTAGATATTTAGAGATAGGTACAAACTGTCCGATTTGGAAACGTTTGACCGTAGCCCTGGTAAAATGTATTTAGATACACGTGTGAAACGATCTGGTCATGCATACACTGAAGTTTACTGCTTTAAACATATACTGATCAACAAAAGTTCCTGTGACATTGAATAAGATTTAATGCAAAGTTATGTTTTTTACCAAATCTGAAACAACTTCGGTTTGCGACAGATAAAAGACTCCTGTAAGTGTTCAAATGGTTTAATTTACCATACTGACTTCAGAAAATGCGTGATTTAATAAAAAAAACAAGAACATGCCAAAATGTCAATTTACAAATCAATAGCGTGTGTGTTCACCTCTGGTTGCGATGCAAGCAACACATCTTCGTCTCAAGGAATGGACCAGGCGTATCACAAAGTCCTGTGGGATATCTGTCCATATCTGCTGGAGCATGTTTCGAAGTTCCTGGAGTGTCTGTGGAACACGTGGTTGACGTCGAAGGCGCCGATCCATCTCATCCCACATGTGCTCGATTGGTGAGCGATCAGGGTAGCGATCCGGCCAGGGGATGACATTCACGTTGTTTTGTTGAAGAGAATCCTGAACAAGTCGAGCAATATGAGAACAGGCTTTGTCATGTTGAAAGGCAATACTTTGGCCATGACGACGCAAAAACGGTAGAAGAACAGGGCCGATGATCTCGATCTCGTCGCGGTAGCGCCGTCCATCGCTGTGGCTGAGGTGAAAACGAGACTCGTCGGTGAATAGAACTTGTCCCCCCTGCATGGCCGTCCAGCGTAGACGCTGTCTGCACCAGTGTAGGCGTGCTTGACGGGGGTTTCCTGTCAAAATGGGACGTCTGGCGGGTCTTCTGGCGACAATCCCTGCACATCTGAGGCGACGACGTACGGTTTGTGAAGATATCTGTCGAAGGCCAGGGATGCTTCTTGCAGTCACTGTTGCTGGCTTGGAATCGATTTCATAGGTGTGTTGTTCGAATCCAGTTGTCTTGTCGATTATTGGTTACGCGTGGCCTGCCACCCCGAGGATGGTCTCTGACTGCATTCGTCTGTTGCCAACGTTGCCATAAACACCAAATGGTGTTTCTGTGGACGTTAAATTGTCTTGCAACATCACGTTGACTCGATCCTGCTTCAAGCATACCAATGGCTCACAGACGCTCATTTTCGGATAGGCGTGGCATTTCGTATTGTTGAATAATTGTGTAATTTTGTTGTTTTTCTGAGTGGTTGTTGCCAGCACTATACTAAACAATGCATATGGAATCCCGTTAACGCACATGTTTTTATACCCATTCTTGGGTAGTGAAATACATGGGGCTTGCATAAAAGTCAACTTTTGCATGGAAAGCATGCTTTTCTGTAGCAGTTGCGTTTTTGTGACTTGATTCCATACATGTATTACAATATTGAAAACCAAACTCTCCTTGTTTGAAAAATACACTAAAATATTACTGTCACAGGAACTTTTGTTGTTGAGTATATAAAAGTCAGAAGGAATTGGTGTATTGTCAGAAAGAAATGGGTACATTAGTGACTTGTTGTGTAACCACAGAGTTTTAGATAATTGTTGTCACTACCCTATGGGTATTATCGACACGACATTGGCTTGTAAATATCGAATGTGGAGCAGACATGCAAAACCCAGGGTACGATGACATGCAATCAAGTACCTAACCCGATTACCCAATCAAGTTTGTCGCCTCATACGACCAGGGACCTATTGCTGGGACTTGTTCCGTCCAAGAGTCTCCTCAAACCATTCGGGAACTGTCAATATTTAGATACCAGTTTGTTAAGTTTAATTAATACGAGATAAATATCCTTGTGTTATGTTTAGATTGTGTCTTTGTTTTTATTACCGCTTTGATTTCTTTGCTTGTTTGTTTGTTTGTTGTTTAACGCCGCACCGGAGCAATATTCCAGCTATATGACGGAGGTCTGTAAATAATTGAGTCTTGACCAGACAGCGATTGACATCATGATCATCGATCCACGCAATTTGGATACGATGACATGCATCAATCAAGTCAGCGAGCCTGACCACCCGATCCCGTTAGTCGCCTCTTACGACAAGCATAGTCGCCTTTTACGGCATGCATGGGTTTCTGAAGACCTATTCTACCCCGGATCTTCACGGGTCTCCACGCAATTGCGATACGATGACATGCATCAGTCAAGTCAGCGAGCCTGACCACCCGATCAAGTTATTCGCCTCTTACGACAAGCATAGTCGCCTTTTACGGCAAGCATGGATTGTTGAAGACCTATTCCACGCCGGATCTTCACGGGTCCTGAAAGTATATAGAATGAGAGATAGTGCTTTGTTGCCAGGAGCAACTGCCTCCCTGCACTGTTATCGTACATCTGAAAGGTTCATGTACATAGTTGCATTTGATTGTAGTCTTAATTCAATGGTGTGATTTTTCCAGCTAACATGGACAGTTCAAGTACACGACTTCAAAGCCTTAATTCAATAGGGGCGGTCGGGTAGCCTAGTGGTTAAAGCGTTCGCTCGTCACGCCAAAGACCCGGGTTCGATTCCCGACATGGGTACAATGTATGAAGCCCATTTCTGATGTTCCCCGCCGTGATATTGCTGGAATATTGCTAAAAGCGGCGTAAAACTATACTCACTCACTCACTCACTCATTTAATTCAATGGTGTGATTTTTCCAGCAAACGTGGACAGTTCAAGTAGACAGCTTCAATCCCCGTGTGGAGAGCATTGCACGTGAAGAGAATGGCGCCATGATCGACATTGTGTGTGGAGGGTGGTGTGGGGGTTGTAGCCCTAAAGGTGACATGCTCCTCTATCCGAACCCTCTTGACAATAAGCCTTAGACCAATATACCGACATCTTCCCCAGGCAAGAGAGTTAACTGAATTCAAAAGTCCAGTTTCCACCCTTGCCGAACTAGGCTGGAATTCCTGGGCTCGATCGTAGCGCTACCAGTGGTTATTATGAGTTATGTCCCTTCTGAGCCTCTCCTATGGACCAATCCGATTCCATCACTTGCATTTGTTTCAAACAAAATGGCGGCGCCCAGTCAAGACGATCTGATCGATAATCAAGATCTATATTGTTATAAAACGGGTCTTACATCGCGAAATGCATCAAATCAAGTGAGCACCTTGATTAATAACATGAAATGATTTGGAAAATATCTGCTGACAACGAGTTGGCGGTGCACATGCTTTGCAAATCCTGCAATCGATCGAAATCTGCATGACAGTTTACGAACCGGATTTCGATTTCGGTGCGTAATTTGATTGGACTATGCATAGACTCGTTAGTCCAGCCAAAATGTAACTCCATAATTCAATTAACACTCTTAAAGGGGAAGTGTACACGCAAAAATCACTTTCTTTCTTTTTCTAAACAAAACGCAATTTTAGAATTAATTAGTATCTGTGTTTGAAAATATACACTCATTTTTTTCACAGTGAACGTAGGAAGCTCACAATAGTGTGAAAATGATATGCCGTTATGAGGCCTTCGTTTTTCGAGCTAAACAGGCCTGAGTTATCCCCCTTAGATTATGACGTAATTGGTGCCAATTCAACTGGGTCCCTGTCTATCCTCAACGCAAAAGATATCAAGTACCAGTTTGCGGTAAAACAACATGGCCTACGACACACTCCGTCGCAGTGGTGACTCAGCATAACACTATGCTGGCTGGCATCTGAGACGCTAGAATCACACACCTGGACCTACACCACGTGAAGCGGCTCTAACAAAGCATGATGACGTCATAATGTTTATCAATTGGCACCAATGACGTCAAATTGCAAGGGGCATAAGCCATGGTGTTTTTGTTGTGGAAATAGAACACTTGGTAAATGTGAAAAATATAAATCGTTTCAATGCGAAAAATATGTTAATTAATTGTGATATTTTTTATATTTTTGTCTATGACACTTCTATGTTAACACTTTTAACGTGGAAAAAGTACAAGAAAAATAGGTTCATTTCCGTGTGAACTTGCCCTTTAAGCTTGCCTCGGGAAGATGTATATAGAGGGTCTGGCCATGAGTTACAGCAACAGGAGCGCATGGGCATCTTTTTCTCACCTTGAAACATAAATTGTGAATGAAAGAGAATAACCAGTCTAGATTATCCACGGAAACAGATTCCAATTGGCGTGAAGGGGAAAATAGCTGTGAACCTTTCATGAATGGACCACTGAACATCAGTGATGACACTGGGTATTCGCGAAAATGGTAAGCATGTTCTACCCTACCGGTAGCACGCGCCATTCACACTAATTGCATAAAAGAAGGCGCTGCGAATCGCGATGCAGAGTTGCGTCCCTTTGGTACGTCAGAAACCTATGATTCCAGGTTTGTCAGCACCATACCCGTGCTCATGGGTTTCACCGAAGTGGTAAACGTCTGAGACCTGCAACACATCGGGCCTTTTTCCCGCATTAAGCTGACACGCCGTGATATAACTGGAATATTGTTAAAAGCGGCGTTAAACCCAACTCACTCACTCACTTACTGCATAAAAGAATGTGACGCAAGGCTCCCCAGGGAAGGCACCACTCTTGACAAGGGGCAAACCAGCATCAGAATCACCACGAACGGATAGAACTTCATGAACATATCCTCCTTTGATTGTTTGTTTGTTTGTTGTTTAACGCCGCACCGCGCCTGACCACCCGATCCCGATAGTCGCCTCTACGACAAGCAAAGTCGCCTTTTACGGCAAGCAGGGGTTGCTGAAGATCTATTCTACCCCGGATCTTCACGGGTCACAAATCTTAAAAAGCTTCGTGTTAATGAAATGCCTGTTACTGATAGCATCTTATTGATTATAACACATCTTTATCGAGTCTTTTTGTGAGAGTTTGTGAAAAAAAATCCTTTTGGTAGAATTCGTTGAAGATGCAGCATATTTATAGGCAACGTCGTTGACGTGGATGACGTTGATTAAGCTCAAGTTTACTTATTGATTGTACAACCGCACCTACTTTCAAATATCTGTTCATTAAAATATGTATGACTGCGCACTGACTGACACGTCTACCAATCAATGAATGTAATCACTGTGTCAATTTAATCATGTCTTCACTTCTCCAATAACAATATAAGTCTGCTGATGCTTAACGTTCGAGTCATCGTCTATTACAAACACAACTGGATATATCATGTGCCCGTAACTTTATAACCGTACTTTACTGTATTTTAATATCTTATCGTGGAGCATGTTGGTTGGTTGTTTAACGCCGCACTCAGCAATACTCAAGCTATATGACGGCGGTCTGTAAATAATCGAGTCTGGACCAGACAATCCAGTGATTTATATCATGAACATCGATCCACGCAATTGCATCAACCAAGTCAGCGAGTTTGAACACCCGATCCCGTGAGTCGCCTTTTAAGGCAAGCATGGGCGTCCCAGTTATTTTGCGCTAAATCACGGATGTAATATCTAACCAAGGGTTTATAATCAGTGCATGGGATAAGAAGTGGTGTCACAGATTTGTTGAGTAATCACTGTGACAGTATAAGCGTTTGTTTACTTCCCCAATACCAATACAATTTTCCATATATAGTTAAAAACGATGACTAACTGTGATGGAATATTTACTCATGCTTCTTGCACAAGATGTCTGTCATTTATCGCCATTTGTTTGAACTGTTGCAACCACTTGGATTGCTGAATAGATTTCGAATGCAAAATGATTTAATTCAATACCTGTATTCCAAAAGTTCTTTTACGATTGCTCAGTCTTCCTAAGTTTTGTGTTTCTTGTTTTACCTCTGTGTTCCATTCTGACTGCATTTGACCCACATTGTTTATTGTTTGTTTAACGCCGCACTCCGCAATATTCCAGCTTTATGACGACAGTCTGTCCATAATCGAGTCTGGACCAGACAATCCAGTGATTGACATCGTGAGCATCGATCCATGCAATTGGGTTGGTCGGGTGGTTTGTTGTTTAACGCCGCACTCATCAATATTCCAGCTATACGATCATGACGGTGGTCTGTAAATAATCGAGTCTGGACCAGACAATCAAGTGATTGATATCATGAGCATCGATCCACGCAATTGGGATCGTTGACATGCATCAACCAAGTCAGAGAGCCTGACCACCCGATCCGGTTAGTCGCCTCTTACGACAAGCATGGGTTGCTGAAGACCTATTCTACCCCGGCTCTTCACGGGTCCCATGCAGTTGGGATAATTGGGATACGATGACATGCATCAACCAAGTAAGCGAGCCTGACCACCCGATCCCCTTAGTCGCCTCTTACAAGCATAGTCGCCTTTTGCGGCAAGCATGGGTTGCTGCAGACCTATTCTACCCCGGATGTCACTGAGTGTACGGGCGACTCAAGTGTTTTTATTGATTGTAAATTGCACCTATTTTGGAATATCAGTCCCTTCAAATATGTATTACAGCGTACTGACTGACTTAGACACATCTACCAATCAACGAATGTAATAACTGTATCAATTTCAGCCTTTGTTTACTTCTCGAAATATCAATAAAATCATTTGGAAACTTTCCGTTCTAGTCATGTTCTATTACAAACGTAATTAGATCTATTATGTGCCGGTAACTCGGTTTCATGGCTTGACATTCCGTCGTCATGTATGTTGTCTTCTGTTTGGTAACAAACATCACTTGTCAATGTTTGCGTGCAGATATTTAGTCTTCAAATAGTCCAGCATTTGAAAAACTGAAGATTTAGTTTGCTTGAGTCTTCAAGTAAGTAAGTGATTGAGGTTTTACGCCGTTTTTAGCAATATTCCAGCAATATCACGGCGGGGAACATCAGAAATGGGCTTCACACATTGTACCAATGTCGGGAATCGAACCCGGGTCTTCGGCGTGACGAGAGAACGCTGTAACCACTAGGCTACCCTACCGCCCCCCTTGAGTCTTCAAGATGGACGGGTTTACTGATTGTCGGTGGGTTGGACTGCTGATGTTTAGATGGATGGCTCCTTGGCTTTTCTAGCTGGCCCAAGAGGATAACATCACACAATCATGTAACGGAATGAGCAGTGGATAAAAGGTTTCAGATCTATATCCAAACATTGGTACTTGGTGGTTATATTGAATTTCCGCAAATGGGAGATAACTTATCGACCTCTTGTAAAACAACTGGTTTGGATTCATTCTGAGAGGACCTCATATATGTTATACTTGTTTCTAACAAGTATTTACATGAATGAAAACGAAATGTTATAGCGTGTATTGTCATATTGATAAGTAGATTCAGACAATTACAATCAACATTGATATCTTAACTACTATATTCTACGTCTAGACATAAAACTCTTGGCGGCCATCTTGGTATTTTGGGCCACCAGGGGGCTCTGGTGACGGAGTTCTATCTAAATGTGTTAACTGTACTTTAGTGGGTTAGTGTGCCAAGTTATATGCATTAAGTCCTAGCACACTGTTTTAGAGTTAAAATATTCAACACTGCAAACACACATTCAGGAAACGTGTCGGCCATCTTGGAATTGGCCGCCATCTTGAATTTTTGCAGATTTGTCAATAGTCGAAAACGTTCAGTAGTTGTGAATATCTTTTTAGAAACATAATATGGCTATACTGAATTAAAACACATGCTTTTTTCATCAAAACATTAAACCTCATTTGAAATATGGAAGATGTATTGATAATTGGTGGCCATTTTGGATTATGCAAATTAGACATATTCCCCAAACGAAGACTGCTTGGGACTTTTAGTAGGTTGTTTTCGGGACTTTGTGGAAATGCATTGTGGTGACATATATTCTGTTGCAATTTGTTCCAAGTGAAACCTTTTTTACCTGGACTACTGTCAGATTAGAAAGTTTACCCGGCGCCGTTTCTATGGTGTGTCCTCTTGAATCAGTGAAGACTGGTATCGGAGTACTCAATTCTGTTGTGACACATGGCACATAAAATGGCGTTAATATTTTGAGCTTTCCTAACATGAGGGGTATGGCAAGTGTATTACAACCGCTGTGAGGTGAGGTGCGCGTCCAAGTTTATTGCACTTCTAGAGCGACGTGCATACACGTGTGCGTGCGTGCGTGCGTGCGTGCGTGCGTGCGTGCGTGCGTGCGTGCGTGTGCGTGTGTGTGTGGCTGCTTGTACTAGTCCGTACTTATACCGGTTTTATAGTGCTAGCACACTAAGATACCAGTTCGGCATGAAAACCCCACTCAGACACTGTTTACTGACTCCGAGTCGACCTATCCTGGTTACAGCCTTTTAATGCCGAACGCCAGACTGGGTAACAACAAGTACCATCTTTTATCGTCTTTTGGCATGACGCGGCCGAGGATCGAACACCGGAGCTTCCGCTCTCCGAGTGGAGGCTCTACCACTAGACCACGGAGACTGTCTCCTAACAACTGTGAAACACCGGGCTTCGATATTATCAAAATTTAAAAAACAAAATTATGTTGCAAACTGTTGAAAAAACAACATTGTCTGACAAAATATTTTGCTGCAAGATGGGTTTTGTAAACAAATTTTTCGGCTCATAAATTTAATTCAATAAATATCTGGTTTCGCAGTTGCAACTGACAATTTATCTATTCTCCACATCGCACTATACTGGCGTGGACTATATCGTTTACATCCGGAAGAGGCCGATTATCATCGTTTTTGGAATACAGAAAACACACAAGTGAATGCTAATAACTTCATAATTGCAGTAACCTAGAACGCGAAGTTAAAGCCCATTTCACTTGACGTTTTGTGGCAAGGTAGTTGTCATGATTCACCTTCTTCACCTTTTGAATAATGGACGTCAAACGTTTACGTTTTCCTCTGAATTAACCTTCATTCCGGAAGTTCCCTTTGGTTTCCCCTTGTTCCCCCGTGTACCTCCGAAAAAAAGGTTGGTGGTGGGGTAGCCTAGTGGTTCAAGCGTTCGCTCATCACGCCGAAGACCCGTGTTCGATTCCCCACATGGGTACAATGTGTGAAGCCCATTTCTGGTGTCCCCGCCATGATATTGCTGGAATATTGCTAAAACGGCGTAAAACCTCACTCACTCACTCACTCACTCACTCACTCACCCACCCACCCACCCACACACCCATACACCCACTCACTCACTCACTCACTCACTCACTCACTCACTCACCCATCCACCCACCCACCCACTCACTCACTCACTCACCCACCCACCCACCCACCCACCCACTCACTCACTCACTCACTCACTCAGAAAGGACATATTCTGGCTATGTTACATGCATGTGATAACCAAATATACGACCTAAACACGTTCAATCTTTGCTTGTTAATTACGTGGTAGTAGAGACATAGCAACCGCGATATCAGAGATATCCTGACCTACGTTGTGCTGTCCTTATCTTATCTACTGACCCCGCTGTGCTGAGAACAATGACCAGGACGGGGATATTACTTCAGGTAAAAAGTGTACTGTAATTCCCTTAAGGGTAGACTATGTTGCTGTCCTAAACTCTGTATTTGTCTTGTCCTGTTGGTTGTGTTGTCCTGTTGGTTGTGTTGTCCTGTTGGTTTTGTTGTTCTGCTGGTTGTGTTGTCCTGTTGGTTGTGTTGTCCTGTTGGTTGTGTTGTCCTATTGGTTGTGTTGTCCTGTTGGTTGTGTTGTCCTGTTGGTTGTGTTGTTGTCCTGTTGGTTGTGTTGTCCTGTTGGTTGTGATGTCCTGTTGGTTGTGTTGTCCTGTTGGTTGTGTTGTCCTGTTGGTTGTGTTGTCCTGTTGGTTTTTTAACCTGTTGGTTGTGTTGTCCTGTTGGTTGTGATGTCCTGTTGGTTGTGTTGTCCTGTTGGTTGTGTTGTCCTGTTGGTTGTGTTGTCCTGTTGGTTGTGTTGTCCTGTTGGTTTTGTTGTCCTGTTGCTTGTCTTGTCCTGATGGTTGTGTTGTTCTGTTGGTTGTGTTGTCCTGTTGGTTGTGTTGTCCTGTTGGTTTTGTTGTCCTGTTGGTTGTGTTGTCCTGTTGGTTGTGTTGTCCTGTTGGTTGTGTTGTCCTGTTGGTTGTGTTGTCCTGTTGGTTGTATTGTCCTGTTGGTTTTGTTGTCCTGTTGGTTGTGTTGTCCTGTTGGTTTTGTTGTTCTGTTGGTTGTGTTGTCCTGTTGGTTGTGTTGTCCTGTTGGTTGTGTTGTCCTATTGGTTGTGTTGTCCTGTTGGTTGTGTTGTCCTGTTGGTTGTGTTGTCCTGTTGGTTGTGTTGTCCTATTTGTTGTGTTGTCCTGTTGATTGTGTTGTCCTGTTGGTTGTGTTGTCCTGTTGGTTGTGATGTCCTGTTGGTTGTGTTGTCCTGTTGGTTGTGTTGTCCTGTTGGTTGTGTTGTCCTGTTGGTTGTGTTGTCCTGTTGGTTGTGTTGTCCTGTTGGTTGTGTTGTCCTGTCGGTTGTGTTGTCCTGTTGATTGTGATGTCCTGTTGGTTGTGTTGTCCTGTTGGTTGTGTTGTCCTGTTGGTTGTGTTGTCCTGTTGGTTGTGTTGTCCTGTTGGTTGTGTTGTCCTGTTGGTTGTGTTGTCCTGTTGGCTGTGTTGTCCTGTTGGTTGTGTTGTCCTGTTGGTTGTGTTGTCCTGTTGGTTGTGTTGTCCTGTTGGTTGTGTTGTCCTGTTGGTTGTGTTGTCCTGTTGGTTGTGTTGTCCTGTTGATTGTGTTGTCCTGTTGGTTGTGTTGTCCTGTTGGTTGTGATGTCCTGTTGGTTGTCTTGTCCTGTTGGTTGTGTTGTCCTGTTGGTTGTGTTGTCCTATTGGTTGTGTTGTCCTGTTGGTTGTCTTGTCCTGTTGGTTGTGTTGTCCTATTGGTTGTGTTGTCCTGTTGGTTGTGTTGTCCTGTTGGTTGTGTTGTCCTGTTGGTTGTGTTGTCCTGTTGGTTGTCTTGTCCTGTTGATTGTGTTGTCCTGTTGGTTGTGATGTCCTGTTGGTTGTCTTGTCCTGTTGGTTGTGTTGTCCTGTTGGTTGTGATGTCCTGTTGGTTGTGATGTCCTGTTGGTTGTCTTGTCCTGTTGGTTGTGTTGTCCTGTTGGTTGTCCATGGTCCGCTGGTTCGCAAGCACGCACGCAAGCACGCACGCATACACACACACGCTGCTATATAGTAGATAAGTACAACAATCTTTAACGTGATGTTAAAGCCCATTTCACTTCATCTGTTTCATATCGATAATTTGTTCTGGGTTTTGATTGGTTTTGTACATAGACAAGGTGTAGCTGATGGTTCTTTATCTTTTTGTATGCAGCGTTGACGTTGTATTTATGACGAAGATTTCTTTCTTGGTTCGTCATAAAAAAGTCATCAATAAAAGTCCGAAAACATGTTTATTGTCAGGATTCAGTGAAGTCGGAATACTCAGAGGTGTCACTTTTTTCTTAGGTTTTCATAATTTGAATTAAAGTTATGCATACATTTCATTTATGACTTTATATAGGTTGATACAATTTGGTTTCAATTTGTTTATATTGCATATTTGTGGCTTTGACTAGCGTACAATGATATGACAAGTCAGAAATAGAAAAACAATTTGAAAGTATACTTTCTCAGAACTGTCGTTATCAGCCAAACCCCTGTCAGTAAACCAAGGGACTTGGTGTGGTTGTAGTGAAGTAGAACGAGTACAGGCATAACTGTGTCACGAAAATACAATCATGATTGATAGTAATTATCAAGCGTTCAAGAGTACATGCTCATCAAACCTCAATCCAACGTGTTTGATAGTATTCAACAAGCGTCAGTCCATCAAGTTTGATAGTATCCATCAAAGCTCAATCCATCGTGTTTGATAGTATCCATCAAGCGTCAATCCATCGTGTTTGATAGTATTCAACAAGCGTCAATCCATCAAGTTTGATAGTATTCATCAAACCTCAATCCGACGTGTTTGATAGAATCCATCAAGCGTCAATCCAACGTGTTTGATAGAATCCATCAAGCGTCAATCCATCGTGTTTGATAAAATCCATCAAGCGTCAATCCATCGTGTTTGATAATATCGAACAAGCGTCAATCCATCGTGTTTGATAGAATCCATCAAGCGTCAATCCAACGTGTTTGATAGAATCCATCAAGCGTCAATCCATCGTGTTTGATAAAATCCATCAAGCGTCAATCCATCCTGTTTGATAATATCGAACAAGCGTCAATCCATCGTGTTTGATAGTATCCATATCCATCAAGCGTCAATCCATCGTGTTTGATTGTATTCAACAAGCGTCAATCAATCGTTTTTGATAGTATCCATCATACCTCAATCCATGGTTTTTGATAATATCGAACAAGCGTCAATCCAACGTGTTTGATAGTATCCATATCCAACAAGCGTCAGTCCATCAAGTTTGATAGTATCCATCAAAGCTCAATCCATGGTGTTTGATAGTATCCATCAAGCGTCAATCCATCGTGTTTGATAGTATTCAACAAGCGTCAATCCATTAAGTTTAATAGTATCCATCAAACCTCAATCCATCGTGTTTGATAGAATCCATCAAGCGTCAATCCAACGTGTTTGATAGAATCCATCAAGCGTAAATCCATCGTGTTTGATAGAATCCATCAAGCGTCAATCCATCGTGTTTGATAATATCGAACAAGCGTCAATCCATCGTGTTTGATAGAATCCATCAAGCGTCAATCCAACGTGTTTGATAGAATCCATCAAGCGTCAATCCATCGTGTTTGATAAAATCCATCAAGCGTCAATCCATCCTGTTTGATAATATCGAACAAGCGTCAATCCATCGTGTTTGATAGTATCCATATCCATCAAGCGTCAATCCATCGTGTTTGATTGTATTCAACAAGCGTCAATCAATCGTTTTTGATAGTATCCATCATACCTCAATCCATGGTTTTTGATAATATCGAACAAGCGTCAATCCAACGTGTTTGATAGTATCCATATCCAACAAGCGTCAGTCCATCAAGTTTGATAGTATCCATCAAAGCTCAATCCATGGTGTTTGATGGTATCCATCAAGCGTCAATCCATCGTGTTTGATAGTATTCAACAAGCGTCAATCCATTAAGTTTAATAGTATCCATCAAACCTCAATCCATCGTGTTTGATAGAATCCATCAAGCGTCAATCCAACGTGTTTGATAGAATCCATCAAGCGTAAATCCATCGTGTTTGATAGAATCCATCAAGCGTCAATCCATCGTGTTTGATAATATCGAACAAGCGTCAATCCATCGTGTTTGATAGTATCCAAATCCAACAAGCGTCAATCCATCGTGTTTGATAGTATCCATATCCAACAAGCGTCAATCCATCGTGTTTGATTGTATTCAACAAGCGTCAATCCATCGTTTTTGATAATATCGAACAAGCGTCAATCCATCGTGTTTGATAGTATCCATATCCAACGAGCGTCAATCCATCGTGTTTGATTGTATCCAGCAAGCGTCAATCAATCGTGTTTGATAATATCGAACAAGCGTCAATCCAACGTGTTTGATAGTATCCATATCCAACAAGCGTCAATCCAACGTGTTTGATAGTATCCATATCCAACAAGCGTCAATCCATCGTGTTTGATAGTATCCATATCCAACAAGCGTCAATCCAACGTGTTTGATAGTATCCAAATCCAACAAGCGTCAATCCATCGTGTTTGATAGTATTCATATTGAACAAGCGTCAATCCATCGTGTTTGATTGTATCCAGCAAGCGTCAATCAATCGTGTTTGATAATATCGAACAAGCGTCAATCCAACGTGTTTGATAGTATCCATATCCAACAAGCGTCAATCCATGATGTTTGATAGTATCCAACAAGCGTCAATCCATCGTGTTTGATAGTATCCATCAAACCTCAATCCATGGTGTTTGATAGTATCCAGCAAGTGTCAGTCAATCGTGTTTGATAATATCGAACAAGCGTCAATTCACCGTGTTTGATAGTATCCATATCCAACAAGCGTCAATCCATGGTGTTTCATAGTATCCATTAAACCTCAATCCATCGTATTTGATAGTATCCATAAAACGTCAATCCATGGTGTTTGATAATATCAATCAAGCGTCAATCCATCGTGTTTGATAATATCCAAATAGGGTCAATACATCGTGTTTTATAGTATCCATCAAACCTCAATCCATCGTGTTCGATAGTATCCATCAAACCTCAATCCATCGTGTTTGATAGTATCCATCAAGCGTCAATCCATCGTGTTTGATAGTATCCATCAAGCGTCAATCGATCGTGTTTGATAGTATCCATCAAACCTCAATCCATCGTGTTTGATAGTATCCATCAAGCGTCAATCCATCATGTTTGATAGTATCCATCAAGCGTCAATCCATCGTGTTTGATAGTATCCATCAAACCTCAATCCATCGTGTTTGATAGTTTCATCAAACCTCAGTCCGTCGTGTTTGATAGCATCCAGCAAGCGTCAATCGATCGTGTTTGATAGTATTCACCAAACTTAATCCGCCATGGTTGATGGTATTCGTCAAGCATGTGTATATATTTGTCAAGCTTATGTCCATCATATTTGATTATCTTCGTCAAGCTTATATCTATCATGTTTGGTGATATTTGTCAAGCATATATCAACCATGTTTGGTGATATTCGTCAAGCATATATCCATCATGTTTAGTGATAATCGTCAAGCATATATCCATCATGTTTGGTGATAATCGTCAAGCATATATCCATCATGTGTTGTGATAGTCGTCAAGCATATGTTCATCATGTTTAGTGATAATCGTCAAGCATATATCCATCATGTGTGGTGATAATCGTCAAGCATATATCCATCATGTGTGGTGATAGTCGTCAAGCATATGTTCATCATGCTTTGGTAGAGGCATCATTAATCGCCCACTCGTCTCAGGCGCCGCAATTCGCTGTTCAGAGTTGCTTCCTGTAATCTGTTGGGCAGCACCATACCCGTGCTCAATGGTTTCGCCGTTGTGGTAAATCTGCGCCACTTCGAATTTCAACCCGTGAAGATCCGTGGTAGAACAGGTCTTCAGCAACCCATGCTTGCCGTAAAAGGCGACTATGCTTGTCGTAAGAGGCGACTAACGGGACCGGATGGTCAGACTCGCTGACTTGGTTGATGCATGTCATCGTTTCTCCCATTGCGTGGAACGATGCGCATGATGTCAATTACTGGATTGTCTGGTTAAACAACAAACAAACACTTCGGATTTCCCTCCCACTTCAAACATACCCGCAAAAATTATTGAAATACTCACTCACTCATGCTTTGATAGGTGGCGTGTGCTGCTGTAATTTTCTCTCATGCGCTGTCTGCATCAACATTGAGGAGGCGACAAAGTAAGTAGAATACTGAATTATTAAAAAGAAAGGAAAATAAAGTGTTTGTAATCCTTAGGTTATTTCTGACAAGTATTATCAGTGTGGGAAAAGTATGACAATCTTTGAGTTATTTGGCACAATGACATCGCTTGATTTTCAGAAATCTTCAAACTGAGATAACGATATTGTTTGATAAAACAGCCACACCCGGATGACGTAATTTGATTTGCTGAATGAATTCCATGCCAACATTGGCCATGAATATTATAACCACGATACATGTGAATTTCAGCAAATTAAATCAGTAAAGTGGCATGCATCCTTTTGAGCTTTTCTTCTACACAAAGCTCATATAAGCCGTGATTTAACTAAACGACTGTTTGAGTCGGTGTTGAACTCCACTCATTCACAGATTGGCTGGAGCCCCGTGAAGATCCGGGTTAGAATTAACAACCCAAAATAGGTCCAGACCCGTGAAGATCCGGGGTATGATAGGTCTTCAGCAACCCATGCTTGCCGTAAAAGGCGACTATGCTTGTCGTAAGAGGCGACTAACGGGATCGGGTGGTCAGGCTCGCTGACTTGGTTGATGCATGTCATCGTATCCCATTTGCGTGGATCGATGCGCATGATGTCAATCACTGGATTGCCTGGTCCAGATTAAACTGTTTACACACCGCTGTCATATAGTTTGAATATTGCTGAATGCGGCGTTTAACAACAAACAAACAAATAAACAAACACTGTTTATCAATATTCCCGTTGACAGGCAGTGACATCCGGTGCCTTCAGTGTGACCACGTTTCTGACCCGGCTGATTGCGACGACTACAGCATATGTGGACATGGCGAGGTATGTTTTTTTGTTTATGACAGCTGATAATAACATCATAATGAAAATGTCCTTAACGACTTTTCGCAAACACCTGGTGTCATCACTGATTTTCAACGCTCCATTATTTAATGTAAAGAATTGCATGCGTTTTTACACGCTTACCCTTTTCGCGAACACCTGGTGTCATCACTGATTTCCAACGCTCCATTATTTAATGTAAAGAATTGCATGCGTTTTTACACGCTTACCCTTTTCGCGAACACCTGGTGTCATCACTGATTTTCAACGCTCCATTATTTAATGTAAAGAATTGCATGCGTTTTTACACGCTTACCCTTTTCGCGAACACCTAGTGTCATCACTGATTTTCAACGCTCCATTATTTAATGTAAAGAATTGCATGCGTTTTTACACGCTTACCCTTTTCGCGAACACCTGGTGTCATCACTGATGTTCAGTGCCCTACAGTAAGGACTTTTGTACACAGTTGTTAAATTAATATTTTAGCGTTTTACGACCAATGGAATCTGTTCCAACTTATTCTCTGGAGCTGTCGTTTTGAATATAATGCTTGTATTTTCATATTGGGTCCACTTCGGATGTGCCGAACTATATTTGACATCAGCCCGAATATCCGAATTCGTTCATTTGATAGGATCAGGTCACGCAAAAACTCCATGGTGATTCCGGTTGGCGATTTAGAATAGATCTTCAGCAACTGATGATCGGGTGATCATGCTTGCTGACTTTGTTGATGCATGTCATTGTAACCCAATTGCGTAGATCGATGCTCGTGATGTCAATCACTGGATTGTCTGGTCCAGATTCGATTATTTAGTGGCCCTCATCAAAGGAATAACTGGAATAGTCATTCGTGAGGTTGTTTTGCTTGTTTGCTCACTCAGCAGTATTCCAGCCATATGGCGGAGGTTTGTAAATAATCTAATCTGGACCAGACAATCCAGTGATCGACAACATAAGCATCGATCTACGAAATATGGATAAGATGACATGCATCAACCAAGTCAGCGAGCCTGACCACCCGATCCCGTTAGTCGCCTCTTACAACAAGCATAGTCGCCTCTTACGACAAGCATTGGTTGGGGGAGATATATTCTACCCCGAGCCAGGTTACAACTTAATGGCTGTTGTAACGATGTTTTTTAACTTTCTTGTAACAGCGATGAAGGGTCGGTTCTCTTTTTGCAAGATATAGCAAGAAACATTTTTCTAGGTAATTCAATGTTTTATTTATGACTGTAAAGTAAATGCGGTCGTTCTTTTTACTGATTTTATTTCACAGGTCTGATGAATAACGCTTACCTAGCTGTCACCGCTATATGACTGAATTTTTGCTGATTAATTTTTAACGCAATTCTTCCTGGTGATTAGATTGCATGCAGGTTTTGATTTCAGCAAAATTATTGATTTTAGATTTGCTCAACCCGGGAGTTTATAGACCACCATGACAAGAAGTCCTATCGGATGGGATGCCAAAGTTCTCAGGTATGTCAGTTTCTACGTTGTTTTTAATGATAAAATATTTTCCTTGAGCTTATGTGGGTTGTCAAACTGCTTCTGATTGGAGTTAGCCCTGTGAATGTTTTTTTGTAAAAACACAAAGGACAAAGGGCCAGGACACGACCACGCCCATCAAGCTTAAGGAAGTGCAAAGTGACTCGGGACTCATCTGGAAACATAACACGCGACCAGCGACGAATACCCAAGTTTCGACATTGTGTACACCAGTGACCTCTGCTGGCAATGACAATTTGTAAGGGGCCGTCGAGCATGGACATGAACTCCATGTAGACGATTTCTAATCGTCTGACCCGTAGTTTGCACCAGCCTGATGAAAGTATGCAGTAATCTGATTCGCCTTTTGAGCTCGATGTCATAGAGCGTGGTTTCGGATCAGTCAATCCTGTCAATCAGTCGATCGTCCATATCTTGGGTTTGTTGATCTGCTAATCACAGACTGTGAAACATTGAAAGTATTGCCATGGCACTATGACTTCTGCCAGTTTCCAACAGCCCTATATTATCACACACAAACAATTAATGAAATCAAGTAAATATAAGCAGAATCAATAAGATTGACAGAAATAATGGTCCAAAGAAATTAATCCACCTTCCTCGAAAGTTTCAAAATCAGGAATGACAATCAAAGCACGTGGGTGACCCTACTTCGTGAGGCACGTGCAAACTATAGGATGAGTTTTGGTGTTAAGACATAAACGTTCTTGCGTGGGATGTTTGCCGTCAACAGTTATCTTCTAATACTTGGTATTAACATTTATATTCCATTATCCCCTACTTTTTTTAAGAGTATATGTTGGCTCGACAGCTGCTCTGATGTCAAAATATCCTATTCTTAAATCTGGATATTTAACATACAAATCAGCACGTTTATGCTCGTCTTTCGTTTGCAAATCATTATAGCTTACGTAAAACAAAATATGATGAATAAACTTACAGTACGAGTTTGGTTTCAGTTTTAAATAATTTCAACAATGAATTTCTCTGACATGAATATGCAGTAAGGAATCGCCATGGACATTTTGTTTTTTACTTGCTTGAAGCATGTGGTCTTATTCTATGCATTGCCAACGTTAACATGTAGTACATACAGTGTATATTAGTTCATGACAATACCAACATTAAGGAAGTTCAGACATTCCGGGTTCATAGTTAGAACTGGTCGCCAGTAATGGAGGGCCACAAACAATAATACACATATGAGGAGGGTCATGAAAAAATGAAATTATATATCAAGATATTCACACACACACACACACACACACACGCACGCACGCACACACGCGCGCACACACACACACACGCGCGCACACAACCACACACACACACTCGCACGCACACACCTACACACTATCGCGCACAAACTGTCGCATGCGCACACAAACACACTCGCGCGCGAACACAGACACTCACACACACTCGCGCGCACAAACATACATACTCGCACACACGCATACATAATCTCCCCCAAGTGATGTCTCCGGTGGAAGCCAGTTTTGAATGATTACTAGCAAGGACAGGTAGGTCGAGGGTTTTTTTCAAAAGAGAAGGTGTGTCTGTGTCTGTGTGTGTGTGTCTGTGTGTGTGTGTGTGGGGGGGGGGGGGGGGGGGGGGGGGGGGGAGGGGTCAACTTGGGCCATTTGTAAATTAAGTAGGGAAGTGGGTGGGGAAGGTGTCCACCAAAAGCCTACAACCAAAATCACAAACACTTTGTGTAAATCATGGCTAATTTATTTTATTTCCTTTAACAACCAAATCAACGTGTTATGATTGTAGACAGTGAGCATACAATATGTCAACAGATGTGAAAGAAAAGGGGGAGCACAACCAAAACACCCTCTCTGGATCGTCACTGAAAAGAGATTACACGAGTGTCTGTCAGATACTATTTAACTAACGAGTTGTTTCCTAGGTGTCTAACGAGCGAAAGCACGAGTTTCGTTATCTCTTTCTTACACACTGTAAAGTCACACCATATTAGTATGTAATCGATGCATATTTTGTCTATTCTTATGGTCACAATAGCGCCTCAATACATAACACAACAGTTATCTGTGACGTCACCCGTCCTACCTCGTACTACCCACACAAATTAACCCTCCACAATAGAGATTCCGCCATCAAGGCGATGATGATAATGCTAACTAGAGAAGACAAAAGAACATTTATTAACACACTAAAAACATATAAAGTTTTGACACAGACGTAAGTGAATTTGACCGAAGCACGAGTAACTTATCAATGACTTACAATCAGGAAAGTAGTACGTCCTAATCTGACCTAAGGTCATCACCATGGAGTAGCCAACCATGGGCCTATAACTCGATCTCACACAAGTTTCGTTTTATACTACAGTAAAGTACGGTTATAACGAACTCAAATGGACTACTAATTTTAGTTCGTTATAACCGTAGTTGGTTAAAAGCATATATACAGCATAACAACAGCAAATAGTCGGGATCAAAAAGTAAGTTCGTTATATCCGTAAGTTCGTTATAAGCGTGTTCGTTATAACCGTAGTTTACTGTAGTTATCTGGATTTGGTTTCTCGCCCACGTGTATATAAGAAACTGTTACTATCCAAAGCCTGTTGAAAATTAGGGTTTAGAAAACAAAGGAGTGAGTGCGTACGCTGCTTTTAGCAATATTCATGCATTGTACCCGTGTCGGAAATCGAACACGGGTCTTCGGCGTGACGAGCTAAAGCTTAGAAAACCAAGGAAGTATTACCAGTTGATTACAATCTTATAAAATATTAAAAATTGATTTTTACTGCAAATAATGATTTTTTACTTCAAAATATCCGCAACGGGGATTGCCAAAGTGGTAGCAAGTCGAGAATCATCAGCGAAATGTCATGCGATGTTTGCGTTTCCCAACTTTTGTTTGTTTCTTTCCTTTTGTATTTTTTTGTGTTTACTGTGGAACGCCACATTCAGTAATATTCCAGCCATGTGACGGCGGTTTGTAAACATTCAAGTCTAGACCTGACAATCTTTGTTGCGGAGGTGTTTAAAGAACTGTTAATGACAAGATACTATGGTATGACGTCACATTTAGTTTATAACGTGGACTGATGTTTTCTTGGCATAAAAAGACAGTAAGTGTGATTTTACGCCGCTTTTAGAAATATTAATGCAATAACACGGCGGGGGACACCAGAAAAGGACCCCCGGGATTTCAGCGTGACGAGTGAACGTTTGAATCAAAACAACCCGCCCCATCCTACCGCACCGCACCCCACCCCATAAAAAGTGGGATTACTCTCAAATTGTTGGTTAGTTGGTTGGTTTGTTGTTAAACGCCGCACTCAGCAATATTACAGCTATATGACGGCGGTCTGTAAATAATCGAGTGAGTGAGTGAGTATGGTTTTACGCCGCTTTTAGCAATATTCCAGCAATATCACGGCGGGGGACACCAGAAATGGGCTTCACACATTGTGCCCATGTCGGGAATCGAACCCGGGTCTTCGGCGTGACGAGCGAACGCTTTAACCACTAGGCTACCCGACCGCCCCGTAAATAATCGAGTCTGGACCAGACAATCCAGTGATTAATAACATGAGCATCGATCCACGCAATTGGGATCGATGATATGCATCAACCAAGTCAGCGAGCCTGACCACCGGACCCCGTTAGTCGCCTCTTACGACAAGCATCTTAAATTGTAGATTGAAGAAAAATTACACAAAATCATAGCTGATGACACACGCCAGGGTACATGTCCTGTAAATAATCGAGTATGGACCAGACAATCCAGTGATTGACATTATATGCATCGATCCACGCAATTGGGATCGATGACATGCATTAACCAAGTCAGCGAGCCTGACCGCCCGATCCCGTTAGTCGCCTCTTACGACAAGCATAGTCGCCTTTTACGGCAAGCATGGATTGCTGAAGACCTATTCTACCCCGGATCCTCATTGTTATCATTGTATCATATATACTGAGTGAAATTAAAAACTTCATATTTTTAAAAGTTATCCCATATATGATATTCAACGGACAAATGTATCAGAGAAGGTAATTTTTAATCATTAATGTCCAAAGAAGGATTTTAATTAACGGTGGTAACCATAAGTTGTTATTCGGTAATAACATCAACAGTTTAAATCATAAGTCCCAAGCACGAGAATCTGATGGCACACAAGATCAGTAGCGTGTATGGCCACCATGTGCGTCGACAACTGCCACACAACGCCTCCGCATGGACCTTGTGATGCTTGTGAACACATGATTGGAAAGACGACGCCATTGTTGCTGCAAAATGGTGCCAAGATCTTGCAAATTCTGTGGTTGGTTCTGGAGAGTGCGCAGACTTCTGCCAAGAGCATCCCAGACGTGTTCGATGGGATTGAGGTCGGGAGACCTTGACGGCCAGTCCATGACGTTGACTCCCGCATTCGGAAGGAAATTCCTTGTCAAAATTGCTGTGTGGGGTCTGGCATTGTCGTGTTGGAAGATCAAACCGGGTCCATGTGCTGGTGCCAGTACCTGGTCGCGGTTTAGCAGCAGCGTTGAGGTTGCCACTGATGACAAGAAGTCTGGAACGTGCATTGCCACAGAAAGCACCCCACACCATGACACTTCCGCCTCGAAATCTGTCAACTTCCTGTACACAACACTGGGCGTAACGTTCATGACGGCGCCTCCACACCCTCGCCCTACCATCAGCAAATCGAATATTAAATCGGGATTCATCGCTGAAGACGACTTGATTCCAATTGCTCGTCCATCGTAAGTGTCGCTGTGTCCACAATTGACGTTGGCGTCTGTGTAATTGAGTCAGACTCGGCCCGCAGTATAGCCGTCGTGCTTGAAGGTGAGCAGTTCTCAGACGGTTTCGAACAGTTTGCGCACTCAGTCTACCCCTAAACAGTTCATTTCTGGTTGATGTGGCCGTCAAAAATCGGTTACGGGGGTGACGTAAGACAATCTGACGATCCTCTGCATGTGACGTCACACGTGGTCGACCTGGCGATCAGCGGTGGTACCCGTTCGCTGTAGACGCGTCTGTAAATCATAAACAGTCCGTCGACTACAACCCATCGTCCTTGCGACTTCAGCTACGGACGTTCCCGTCTGCAACATGCCGATGGCAAGTTCACGTTGCACATTTGAAAGGTGTGGCATGACAAATGGCCGTAAAGACTTTTGTTTTCTTGTGTTTTTCTTTTTTTGTTAATGACTGCTAACAAGTATGGCTGAAAACACGTGCGGTATTATGGCCACGTGACCAGTTACACGTGAAAAAAACACTCTTGCCACTATAGTGCTGTGCATATGATTTTGATCGATTCACCTGCACAAAAACGGGTGTTATCTGAAGACAATACGTGGCCATTACTGTTTAAATACACAACAAGGGCCCACAATGATAACTGGTCTAAATGTTAAAATTTTAGGATTGTGAAGTTATTAATTTGGTTCAGTATATTTCACCCATTGCTGCGTTATATGGTTGTAAACTTTATCCTGTGTATTTCAATATGATTTGCTAACTGTTCATTGATCTTGTGAGGTTATTTGCTGATCTCACAATCTACAGTAAACTACGGTTATAACGAACTCAAAGGGACCACTAATTTTAGTTCGTTATAACCGTAGTTCGTTATAAGCATATATACAGGATAACGACAGCAAATAGTCGGGACAAAAAAGTAGGTTCGGTATATCCGTCAGTTCGTTATAAGCGTGTTCGTTATAAACGTACTTTACAGTAGTTTTCTTCGTACCGATTTCTGGTCCATACAGGTAGTATGGTACTGTGAGTCTCCATGGTGATCTACCTTCAGTGGCTGACGATCTATAGCCCGTTTCTATATTGTATTACTATATATAGTGATATTTTATATGGTTATATGTTAGTTTTAAATATTAAACTATGATATTCTAGTTACTTAACTGCCCTTTGTTGATAGGCCTTGATTGTTTAAATGTATATACTATGTATAACATTTGATGGTCGCGATATGGCTGAAATACTGCCGATGTGACTTTAAATATTTTCTCATTCACTCTCACCGATTTCTTGGTGAACCATAGTTCTATAAACTACATTTATAACGAACACCCTTATAACGAACTACCGGATGTAACGAACTGTTTATGAATCCCGTCCATCTGCTATATATATGGTTATAACGAACTACGGTTATAACGAATAAAAATTAGTGGTCCCTTTGAGTTCGTTATAACCGTAGTTTAATGTAACTCAATTAAGGATTTAACACGTAACATGATTATTGGACTCGCAATTCGCAAATCATGTTTCAACAGATTTGTTCCCTGTACAAAAATGCGGCAACGATATTTGGGCGACGCCGAGATGTGTTTTCCGAGGACGAAGCACGCCTGTGTTTTGATTGTTGCAGTGACAATGATTGCAACTCCGCTATTTGTATCCCCACTGGTGGTGGAGCCACGCCTTTAACGCAAGTTGTTAGTACAACACCAACACGCATACCAACAAGGACTTTGACTGCCACGGAAACAACAACTAAAGACAACGGTACGTATTTTCAGTGTATTCCACCGGTTATGGATGTGAGTGAGTTGGGTTTGTCGCCGCTTTTAACAGTATTCCAGTTATATTGCGGCGTGTCAGCTTAATGTGGGAGGAAAGCCCGAAGTGATGCAGGTCTCAGACGTTTACCACTTCGGTGAAACCCACGAGCACGGGTATGGTGCTGACAGACCTGGAAACATAATCGGGGTGAACCGGGGTGAACAATATACTTCGTATGGTTTTTACGCCGCTTTAAGCAATATTCCAGCAATATCACTGCGGGGGACACCAGAAATGAGCTTCACACATTGCATCCATGTCGGGAATCGAACCCGGGTCATCGGCGTGACGAGCGAACGCTTGAACCACTAGGCTACCCGCCCGCGCCGGGGTCACCACTAGTCAGTCGTCATGAAATCTGTCTTTCAGTATGTCCCTCTGGTTTCATGACCTGGAAGTTCTCCTGTTATGCCTTCTCCCAGACAAACGTTATCTGGGATGACGGGCGGAAGCTATGTCAGGATAAAGGTGCAGATCTGGTCTCCATCAACACGCAGCAAGAAGATTCCTTTATAACAAATCAGCTGGAAAACCTTAGAGGTAATATTGTTTCGTAATTATTTACATTCAGTAAACTACGGTTATAACGAACACGCTTATAACGAACTGACGGATATATCGAACTTACTTTTTCGGTCCCGACTTTTTGCTGTTGTTATACTGTATATATGCTTATAACGAACTACGGTTATAACGTACTAAAATTAGTAGTCCCTTTGAGTTCGTTATAACCGTACTTTCCTGTACATGTATACCATACCCGTGAGGATCCGGGGTAGAATAGGTGTTCAGCGGCCCATGCGTGTGTGTTTTGTTTTTGAACCCGACACTTCACGAGAAATTAGTCTTGGTAACGTCAAAATTAAATGTGCGTGTTTTAGCACCGATCCTGCACAAGGATTGTGGCTTGACAGCTTTTCACGGTTTTGTTCCCGATACTGCACGAGGAATGTGTCTTTGTAGCGGCACTGCTTAAAGTTAGCACCCGCGCGTACGTGTTTGTTTTAGTTCCCGAAACTGCACGAGAAATGTGGCTTGACAGCTTTTCGTTGATGAACCTTCTTGGTAGCTTTTCATTTAAGTAGCCGATAGTGTAGCCGGGAAGTTGTCTTAGTAGCGACACTGTTAAATCTGCTTGTGTGTGTGTGTTTTGTTTTAGCTGCCGATACTGCACGAGAAATTATCCTTGTAAGCGTCAAAATTAAACGTGCATGCGCCCGCGTACGCGTTTTGTTTTAGAACCGATCCTGCACAAGGATTGTGGCTTGACAGCTCTTTACGGTTTTGTTCCCGATACTGCACGAGGAATGTCTCTTTGTAGCGTCACTGCTAAATGTGAGCACCCGCGCGTACGTGTTTGTTTTAGTTCCCGATACTGCACGAGAAATAAGTCTTGGTAGCGTCAAAAATAAAGGTGCGTGTGTGCGCGCGTACGTGTTTAGTTGTAGCACCCGATACTGCACAAAGATTGTGGCTTGACAGCACTCCCGTTCCCGATACTGCTCGAGGAATGTCTTGGTAGCGTCAAAATTAAATGTGCGTGCGCGCGCGTACGTGTTTTGTTTTACTACTCGATACTGCACAAAGATTGTTGTTTGACAGCACTCCCGTTCCCGATACTGCTCGAGGAATGTCTTGGTAGCGTCAAAATTGAATGTGCGTGCGCGCGCGTACGTGTTTTGTTTTACTACTCGATACTGCACAAAGATTGTGGTTTGACAGCACTCCCGTTCCCGATACTGCTCGAGGAATGTCTTGGTAGCGTCAAAATTGAATGTGCGTGCGCGCGCGTACGTGTTTTGTTTTACTACTCGATACTGCACAAAGATTGTGGCTTGACAGCACTCCCGTTCCCGATACTGCTCGAGGAATGTCTTGATAGCGTCACTGCTAAGTGTGCGTGCGCGCGCGTACGTGTTTTGTTTTACTACTCGATACTGCACAAAGATTGTGGCTTGACAGCTCTCCCGTTCCCGATACTGCTCGAGGAATGTCTTGGTAGCGTCAAAATTGAATGTGCGTGCGCGCGCGTACGTGTTTTGTTTTACTACTCGATACTGCACAAAGATTGTGGCTTGACAGCACTCCCGTTCCCGATACTGCTCGAGGAATGTCTTGATAGCGTCACTGCTAAGTGTGCGTGCGCGCGCGTACGTGTTTCGTTTTACTACTCGATACTGCACAAAGGTTGTGGCTTGACAGCTCTCCCGTTCCCGATACTGCTCGAGGAATGTCTTGGTAGCGTCAAAAATATAGGTGCGTGTGTGCGCGCGTACGTGTTTTGTTGTAGCACCCGATACTGCACAAAGATCGTGGCTTCACAGCACTCCCGTTCCCGATACTGCTCGAGGAATGTCTTGGTAGCGTCAAAATTGAATGTGCGTGCGCGCGCGTACGTGTTTTGTTTTACTACTCGATACTGCACAAGATTGTGGCTTGACAGCACTCCCGTTCCCGATACTGCTCGAGGAATGTCTTGGTAGTGTCACTGTTTAGTGTGCGTGCACGCGTACGTGTTTTGTTTGACACTGCACGAGTAATGTGGCTTGACCTTGTTGCACCTTCTTGGCACGTTTTCGTTGTAAAAGTAATCAGCGCTGAACGAGTGTCTTGGTAGTGTCACTGTTTAGTGTGCGTGCACGCGAACGTGTTTTGCTTGACACTGCACGAGTAATGTGGCTTGACCTTGTTGCACCTTCTTGGCACCTTTTCGTTGTTAAAGTACTCGACGCTGAACGAGGAGTGTCTTGGTAGTGTCACTGTTTAGTGTGCGTGCAGGCGTACGTGCTTTGTTTGATACTGCACGAGTAATGTGGCTTGACGGCACCCTCTTGGCACCTTTTCGTTCTTAAAGTACTCGACGCTGGAACGAGTGTCTTGGTAGTGTCACTGTTTAGTGTGCGTGCAGGCGTACGTGTTTTGTTGGATACTGTACGAGTAATGTGGCTTGACCTTGTTGCACCTTCTTGGCATCTTTTCGTTGTTAAAGTACTCGACGCTGAACGACGAGTGTCTTGGTAGTGTCACTTTTTAGTGTGCGTGCACGCGTACGTGTTTTGTTGGATACTGTACGAGTAATGTGGCTTGACCTTGTTGCACCTTCTTGGCATCTTTTCGTTGTTAAAGTACTCGACGCTGAACGACGAGTGTCTTGGTAGTGTCACTTTTTAGTGTGCGTGCACGCGTACGTGTTTTGTTGGATACTGCACGAGTAATGTGGCTTGACCTTGTTGCACCTTCTTGGCATCTTTTCGTTGTTAAAGTACTCGACGCTGGAAGGAGTGTCTTGGTAGTGTCACTGTTTAGTGTGCGTGCACGCGTACGTGTTTTGTTGGATACTGCACGAGTAATGTGGCTTGACCTTGTTGCACCTTCTTGGCATCTTTTCGTTGTTAAAGTACTCGACGCTGGAAGGAGTGTCTTGGTGGCATCTCTGTTTAACGTGCGTTCGTGCGTGTTGTTTGAGTGGAATGTGTTTTGAAAGCCCCACGAGATAAATCTTCCAAACGAGCCACGTATCCAATAGTAAAAATTGATTCCTTGAATTTCGAAAATTACCTAAATATGAAAGTAAGTATTTGGCGAGACTTAAAATTTCGAACTTCCGATTGAAACTTGAAGATGGAAAAAATACCTTCAACTGAAGAAAAATGTCCATTTTGTAAATCATTTGATTTAGGTAATGAGTTCCATTATCTACATTCTTATAAAAAAGAAACGCACAGGTAGTATGTAGATCATTGAACCTGACTTCACAAAAAAGTCCGGAATATAAATTGGATACATGTTATTGGAAAATGTTGATCGCCTGATATTCGACAAACGGTGCCTCAAAATGCATCCACTGTCGATTTGCAATGTATTAAACAGCATTGTTTTCACACTTGTTCAAAAATATCATGGAGGAAAACGCTAAAGCAAAATGCACGTGCAAGTTATGGCATTCGTAGCTCGTGGTAGTGGCCATAAAAAGGCAAGCATAAGCTAAAAAACTGTCATTCAATTGTCAATATTTTTCAAGTTCCAAAGTGCCGAGGCTCAGCGCTGCCGATCGGAACAACCCCATAGGACGTATCCAAAGAGAGGAATCGCAGTCTTCTGTTGCACGCCACTTCAACGTCCACCACAGCACCATTTGCCACCTTTGTGACCGATACACACAGTTCAATCCCACTGCAGACCGTCCGAGAACCGGCCGACCAAGAGTTACCACCCCTGCACAGGGTCGCTACATTTGACTGTTCCACCTACGTCATCGCAATGCCACAGCTACGGAGACTTCAGGACTTATGCGTTGGTGCCACACCTTTTAACAGCCTTGGAATTTAAGAAACTGGAGACGAGTGAAGTTTAGCGAGGAATCACGATTTCTCCTTCACCGGCGAGATGGAAGACAATGTGTTTATTGTTGTCGAAATGAGCGTTTTGCCCCACATTGTATGCGTGAATTCGACAATTTCAGTGGCTGTAGTGTCATGGTTATGGTTCAAGGAAATTTGACAGCAAATCGCTACATGAATCAAATTCTTCCACCTCACCTTCTTCTAATCATTGACGGCCAGAGGCAGCTGTTTCAACAGGACAACGCACCACCGCACATAGCTCGTGTCACGGTAGACTACCTTCATAATGCCAGCTTCAACGACTTGCCCTGGCTGTCGAGATCTCCAGATCTCAACCAAATCGAACACCTCTGGGATGAATTCGATCGACGTGTACGTCAACGTCAGAACACGCTGCAGACACTCCCACAACTGGCCAACGCGTTACAAGCAGAATTCCACAGGAAAGAATTCGTACCCTTACCCAGTCAGTGCCGAGGAGATGCAGAGCCGTGATTGCTGCCCGGGGCGGTCACACGAGATACTGAGTTCAGCGCAACCTTGTGGCTTTATGTGACATGACAATGAACATTTTGCAATGCCTCTGTACAACGACAACATTTGACTATCGAGCATACTTGTATCTATGATATTAGATTAAATATATCGACTTTATAAGGTGAAATACATTTACTAAAAATGTACCGGTGCGTTTCTTTTTTTGAAGAGTGTATTTATCTGTCCACTATTTCAAAATAAGAGAAAACAGCTAGTTAGAAAATATATTTACATTTCACCAAACATGTACAAAATGAATTTGCTATTAAATAGCAAAAGATTTAGGAACACTTAGAAATTTTGTAAAATTATAATGCTGCTATTTAACCCTATCAATATGTCTAAGTGAACCCTGTCCCGTATCTTTATTTACTGAAGCCACTGCTCGGTATATCTGTTGATATTTATTGTATATTTGTATATAGTGAATCAGATGTATATGTTGATGTATCAATGCTGTTCCTCTAATGCCCGACTATGCTTGTCGAAAGAGGCAGCTATGCTTGTCGTAAGAGGCGACTAACGGGACCGGGTGGTCACGCTCGTTGACTTGGTTGATGCATGTTATCGTATCCCAATTGCGTGGATCGATGCTCATGATGCCAATCACTGGATTGTCTGGTCCAGACTCGATAATTGTTCAGACCGCCGTCATATAGATGGAATATTGTTGAGTGCGGCGTTAAACAAACAAACAAACAAAACCTCTAATGCCGCTGTTAGTGGCCTCGGTGTTATAAAGTTCAGCTCAGTTCAGATAGTAACTTGATGACATTTCATCGTTGTTTTAGTACCTGACACTGTCCGAGGAATGTGGCTTGGCAGCACCTACGACGACGCAGATAACAAGTTCAAGTGGGTTGATGGAACAGACGTCAGCTACGGCCGCTTCAAGACTGGTTCGCCCAGAAGACTGACTGGGTACAGTCTCGTAGTGATAAACCCCGCTGTTAATTCCGCGTTTGCTGGTTGGCCTTGGGGGTCGGATGTAGGATCAGTTTATAAACGTGGCTTCATTTGCGAAATGAAGCAGCCGAGCAGACACTGATTCTGAAGAATATTGTTCACGGAACAGTGAATGTTTCAGTTGCTGTGCTGGTAGTGTGTACGACCATGCTCAATAAACTTGCGTTGTCTCGCTTATTGCTGTGATGATGATGGAGTTGGACTTAACGCCGCTTTTGATATTATTCCAGTTATATCGCGGCGTGTCAGCTTAATGTGGGAGGGAAGCCCGAAGTGACAAACCTAGAAACATAATCGGGGCGAACCGGGATTCGAACCCACAATCATAGGTTCCTGGCGTGCCAAAGCGACGCAACTCTCACAGTGAATCGCGGCGCCTTAAACGACTGGGTCATCTGTGCCCCCCGTTTATTGCTGCTTGTGGGTTTCGAGGATAGGGGACGCCAAAACATTCTGCACCTTCACCACTTTTGTTCTAGTTCTTAGTCTCATATTCTAACAAGCCGTTTTGCCGTTGTGCCGTTGCCACAAATGCTGAGGTTGCGCTTGCAGCTTGATTGACTGCAGTACAATGCAGAAACGTCAATGACATATACTAATATTCAGACACAAATATGTAAATATGCATCCCAATGACGTCACGGGATTCCCCGGTTCGCCATGAGCGGGCTTGACAAACTGCAAAACGGCTTGAAATATAAGCTTGAATCCTTCTTAAATGTACATTATTCCGACAAATAAACATTCTGCATACGATTGGCAATATTCCAGCAATATGGTGTCGGTCTGTAAATAATCGAGTCTGGACCAGACAATCCAGTGATTGATAGCATGAGCATCGATCTAAGCAATTGGGATCGATGACCTGCATCAACCAAGTCAGCGAGCCTGACCACCCGATCCCGTTAGTCGCCTTTTACGACAAGCATGGGTTGCTGAAGACCTATTCTACCCCGGATCTTCACGGGTCACCCTGTAAGTATTGCGTTGAAATTGTACCACTTAATACTTTAATAGTTACATAAAACACTTGTTCAGATGAATAATACATCTGTCTTTCATGTACTGTTACGCTGTTTGGGATAGAACAGTAACTACATTTGGGTCCCAAGCGTTTGCGGTGAGCATGTGAAATACATTAGATTCAAATAACACTGAGTGTTATAGAATATTAAATGGAACAATCTTCGCTTCGGTTTCAGGCTTATTTTACCGTTTCTCTACCAACTTCAACATGTTATAATAAGTGCCTCCCGCGCGTGTAGTATCTATTAATAACTTTTCAGGAATTTCCCCTATTTGCATAGTAAGTAATATTTGTAGTATTAATTATGCAAGGAATATATTCAGTTGTCACCCTTAAGAAAAAAGAAAATATTTTTTTGTTTATTTGCTACATATGCATCAAATATCATACTGAATTTACTTGTATTACTTTACGTAATTGCAGAGTGAAATGGTATTTTAACAAGATTAGGCAAACATAGAATCAGTTAGTTATAACTTATTGAAATAGGCCAAAGTAAAGTTTGGCACAAAGCATAATGGTTACAAGAAACATATAATAAGATCAACAACATATTGCAATGAATTGATTTTAAGGTGAATGGGATTGTTCGCAACCCATAACATATGGACATCTAAAATACCTTATAGGGTATATTGAAAAAGAAGTAAGGCGTTAGCCCGCATTCTAACATCTGTGCTGCTTACACTGAAACCAAATTGGTCTGGTGTTTTACCTCAAGTGACAAAGATAAAGAGTGAGTGAGTGAGTGAGTGGGTTTAACGCTGCTTTTAACAATATACCAGTTATATCACGGCGTGTCAGCTTAATGTTGGAGGAAAACCCGAAGCGATGCAGGTCTCAGACGTTAACCACTTCGGTGAAACCAACGAACACGGGTATGGTGCTGACAAACCTAGAAACATAATTGGGGCGAACCGGGATTCGAACCCACAATCATAGGTTTCTGGCGTGCCCAAGGGATGCAACTCTGCACAGCGAATTGCGGCGCCTTAGACGACTGGGCCACCCGTGCCCCTACAAAGATAAACAGCAAGATTAAATCTAAAAAGAATCATCCCAAAGCAGTTGAATGGTTCACTGAAGCTCAAGATCCTGACATCATCGGCAATGCCTTTTCTGTCAAAGGCATTGCAGTTTTCCATCAGCACAAAATACAAAAGACGACAAGTACAATATTAACCAATGCAAATCCCTCAAATATGAAACAGTAACACAATATGTAAATCTTTTTCGATCCGAGGGAAACTAAATGTCTTCACAGCTTTGTTTATATCATCATAATCCGTTCACATAATCCGAACTGAAAAAATAAGAAATCATTATAAAACATAAAACAGACATTGACAGCTTCAAAAATCTTCCTTTTGCATCATCGCCTGCCCTTTCTTTTTCCAAATGTCTTCCTTCCTCCTCCTCCTCCTCTTCCTCCTCCTCTTCATCGCAACAGCTTCAAATTCAAAATGAATGTCTCACCCTTGAAACTGAAAAGTTAACAAAAAGAATACAAGGAACTTAGATTTTATTTCCTTAACTGCCGTAGAAATCCTTGAAGAAAACAGCCAGCAAAAATGAGTGAGTGAGTGAGTAAGTATGGTTTTACGCCGCTTTTAGCAATATTCCAGCAATATCACGGCGGGGGACACCAGAAATGGGCTTCACACATTGTACCCATGTCGGGAATCGAACCCGGGTCTTCGGCGTGACGAGCGAACGCTTTAACCACTAGGCTACCCGACCGCCCCCAGCAAAAATGAACCATGTCCAATCTGGAAAACAAGATTTTATAGCTTAAAAACATATATTCCGCTTGTCAAAAACAAATTGATTCTCTAAATACAAGGCTTTCTACAAATGAAAAACAACTCATATAATTAAATCCCCAAAACTTACAGCGCACTGTTTAAAAGGAAGGATTCAACAATCACTTTTTAGCTTTTAGCAATAAGAAAGATTATTTCTGAAAAATTAATTTGACAACTGCTCTGGACAATCAAGAAGAAAATATATCATTAAAAAAAAAAAGTGGAGGAAATTGCCAATCTAAATAAAAAAGTCAGTAAACTTCAACACCATTGTTCAGTTAAAAATGAAAAAAATCTTACTTCTTCGCGCTCAAGATGAAGCAGTAGCTCATACACACACAAAAAAACAGATAAAACAATTACTCAACTAATGAATGAAGTTGGCAGTGCCCGAAAGGAATCCTACAATCTCGACTTCATCAATGATGGCATCTATAGTGATAATTTAAGAGCAGTTATCAACTTATCATGCACCTTGGAGCAAATGGCGACCCGTTGGTTGGTTTGTTGTTAAACGCCACACTCAGGAATACCCTTGAAGAGCTGGGGTAGAATAGGTCTTCAGCAACTAACAAGACTTTCCTTGTTGTAAGAGGCGACTAACGGGATCGGGTGGTCAGGCTCGCTGACTTGGTTGATGCCTGTCATCGTATCCCAATTGCGTGGATCGGTGGTGATGTCAATCACTGATTGTCTGGGCCAGACTCGATTGTTTACAGACTGACGTCATTTAGCTGGAATATTGCCGAGTGCAGCATTCAACAACAAAATAACAAATAAATGGTGTCAGTTCATACTACATGGCTGATACAATTAAAACCGTACTTAGAGGCCTGGCCAATATTGACACCCCAAAACTACCTTGTCATGCAACAATTTGCAATATTCTTAAAGAAGCCAACCTTGTTGGAAAATTGCAAGTTGCTGACGTATTGCTGAATCACCCCAACAGCTGTTTGCATGTTGATGGCACGAGTGATTCCCAGCGTCATTTCTACGGGTATCAAGTGTCCACCTCATCTCTGCCCAGCATGGCCATGTGTATGGTTGAAACTGTATGTGGTAACACAACAACTATTTAAAAATAGTGACAAATAGTGATCATGACAGATCAGCATATTTTGAACAAAGTTTTAAGAAGAAATTAGACAGACCATCTTGTCAAAATCGGAAAATACCTGGATTGTAATGACGGATATTGAAAAAAGCCCAAACCGTCGATGTCAGTCAATGGTTTTGACATTTACATGTTCTTTTAGGTCTGGCCGATTCAGCATCTCTTGCCATTTCACAATATGAAAAAAATCTAACTGACGATGGAAATCGCAACACTTTGACAAGATCTTTCAGCCTGGACAAAATACATGATAGCAGTAATAGCCATGTTGAGAAAGTCACCCGTTTTGTATCATCCCTCAACACGACCCGTGAAGGTCCAGGTAAGAATAGGTCTTCAGCAAACCCCTGCTTGCCGTAAAACGTGACTATGCTGTCGTAAAAGGCGACTAACGGGATCGGGTGGTCAGGCTCACTGACTTGGTTGATGCATGTCATCGATCCCAATTGGGTGGGTCGATGCTCATGATGTCAATCGCTGGATTGTCTGGTCCAGACTCGATTATTTACAGACCGCCGTCATATAGCTGGAATATTGCTGAGTGCGGCGTAAAACAACAAACCAACCGTGCAAGCACGTAAAAGGCGACTGTGCTTGCTGAGGTGCTGCGTAAAACAACAAACTAACCAACAAACTCATCCTGCTGCTGGACTTTCTGCCGACTTCATTTCCTTTATGAAAACAAACAACCTTCCAACCTGTTTAAACAGTTTACTCGTTTCAACATCACTTTTCATAATGCCGCAGCAACAACCCACCATGAACATCACCTTACGCAGTTCCTGGTCAGTATCACTCATGAAAATCTCCTCATCAAAGCCGTCAAAGATCTATCCTATGACATCATCCTCACTGAAGTACGTGCTCTTACCTTTTTCAAGAATATATATATCAAACCCATTTTACAATCTCATTTTAAGTCAAAACACAGCAAATCATATCCTTAATCTCAATCCCCATTTTCCTCAAACGCAGCAATACTTACAGCAAATTTCAGAAAATCTATCTCAGATCTTACAACCTGATTTCATCGTGTGGCCATCTTTTCAGAAACCAAATCCCTCTTCCGAAAACAATCCCTATATAGATCTCACTTTAGAATGTCTTGGACTCATCTGTACATATGCTCTCATCACTCGTCGTTGCTAATCAATTGCCATCAGTTGGCAGTTACGGCCATATGTTAAACAACTAACATATGCTCTCATTGATTTCACTCGTCTTGTTGCCAATCAATTGCCATCAGGATGTCATGCAGATGATACTCATCAACTCCGAACAGTCATCATCTGTATCAAAATCCAACAGTATTGGAGAAAGCCA